CCCCCCCCGTCTCCTTTCAAGTGACGCCCTATAAAGTTTTTTTCCTATCAATAAGAGAAAAGCACTTTTGGCTGGGGCCGGAGGCCTTTCCCAAGGCCGCGCATACTCTCGCAGATCTCCCGGAGAGCAGGCAGGCTCGGCTGCCGCCCTCTGTGGCACCAGGGCCCGCCGCTGCCCTCCCGGCGGCGGACCTGCTCCCTGCCACAGCCTCGGCGACCCCCGCCCCTTGGGGAAAGCGACCGTGCCACAAGCTGCTCCCTGGGGAGAGCTGGAGCTCGGCCCCGGGCCCATCTCGCACTAGTTCAGCTCTGGGTGTCGTTTCCACCCTGCAAGCCTGCTGCTGGTGGCTGCCGGACCGCGGTCCAGCGGAGTGGCTGAAGCAGGCGCTCAAGATACGCACGGGGCGAGGCGCTCGAGGCCAAGTGAGGCCACAGTTTAGAGAGGAAAAAGGTTTTCCTCCTCAAAGCCGGGGGCCCGTCCCACAGACCAGAGCTTACAGCGGGACAGGCGAAATCCCTGCCGTCTGCTCCTGCGGGTGTACGGGCAGCCCTGCGGCCGCCACCTCCCGCTGCCCCAAGCTGGGCAGGGGGATGCCGGGCGGGTCTTACCCCGGGCCAGGGGAAGCCTGCCTGCAGGGCCTGCAGGCCGGGATACCCCCATTTTTTTCCCGAGGGCCGCGAAAGGCGGCGGCGGGGGCCGAGCGTTGATGCCGCCCCGGAGCCGCGGTCCGAGGGGCGCCAGCCGCCTGCGGCGCGGGCGTCAGGGCCGGGGGTCAGACCGCTGGGAACGCCTCGGAGGCGGACGGGCAGAGGCAGAACAGGGACAAACCGCGATTAAAACTTCCGAGGCTCTAGCTCCACCCAGAAGGGAGAAGGGGGAAAAAAATTCAACCCAGGCGAAGAATAAAACGAGACGGAGACATTTCCCTCCGGACCCCGGCTCTGCAGAGCTCGGAATGATGCAGACCCGGCGGGTTGCCGGGGACCGAGCCCCTGCTGCTCCGGTGCTTCTTTCGAAGCCCTTAAGCGCAAGTGAAACGGAAGCTTGGAAAGAGGCGCCAAGATACGTGCCAGGAAAAACCAACAACAAAACCGCCGCAAGTGCCAAAGCGAGATGCGGACTCAGGTGCGGGCAGCGCGGCCCCAGGGCTGCGCAGGGCCTCGCCGCAGGGACAGCCCCTGTGCGGGAGCGGGCGTGTGCTTCCCTCCCGGAGGGCTCTAGAAAAGCCTGACATTACACATCTCGGTGTGAAATGAGCGAGCCCTCATCCTAAATCTCCCCCCTTTGACATGTGTGTGCAGCCGGCAGAAGGGTAGTAAAAATCCGGTTTACTTACGTGTCATAATTGTCTCGGAATCCTTTTGCGAAAGGGTTGTGATCTATTTTCAGTTGTGTGATCTAGGGAAAGAGAGGAGCAGAGCACACGTTGTGAAAGCCTGAAAAATATATCCCAACTGCAGCCAACATGCTTTTAAAGGACCAAGCTTTACTCTAGTCAATCATACTGCCTTTAAACCGTGAAAAATCAGCTCTGGCATGCTTATAGACATCACAGTCTAATTTTAAGATTTACGTTGTTGTAAAAAGTACGAAAAAAAAATCAATATTTAACCCCATATTTTGAGGCGTGTTCAGCATTCCTAGTGCATAGGTATGACTATACTGAAATCCAGAAATTAGGCAAAACGTACCGCAGAACGGTAACTAGGAGTTTGCATTTGCATCGAGCAAAATAATTAAAGCGAAAATGTGGACTGAACATATGTCATTTGAAAAGGGGGCACCAGTCTGTAGCAAAGCCAGACCACTCCGAAACGCATCCAGGCATTAACGAGCTTTTAATTTGAGGAACTTGCTCCGTCACCCCCGGCGCAATCAATGAGGATGTTAATTGATCTTTGCAGACTTAAAGCTTAAGCTAACAGCTTAACAGCTAACTAAGCTGTTTCCGACTGGGGGATAAACGCTGCGGGCCAGCGCCCAGCCCGGGCGGAGGGGCAGGATCGCGCCCATCCTGGCCGGGAGGGCGATGCCCCTGCGGGCACCCGGAGGGGGCTCCTGAGGCGAAGACGGCCCAAGAGGCTAAGGCCGCCCTCGGGATGGCCAGGAAGGGCTGGCACAACGTGGGGAACAGGGAGCCCCATCTCCCGGCGCCGGAGACCCGGGGTAGGATGGGCAGCAGCCGGGCCATCCCTGGTGGGCTGCCTTACGGGAGCGGGGGGACCGCGAGGGGGATAAACCAGGGAGATCTTTACATCGGTGTTCTGGTAGGCGGTGACGGCGATGAACTGCGTCTCGGGGAACGTGAATGTCTGCACTCTGCCCGGCTGGTTGGTATCCTCCGTCCCGTCTTCGTTCACCTCCACCACATGCAAGCGAGGTTGGTACTTGTGAAGGGACTGCAAAACCACCATCTGTCAGGCATGGCAAAAGGAAGGAGGGGGACCCGGGAGAAAAGAAGAAATTAGAGCGAGAAGGACGAGGAGAGCGATGCCCGCTGGCCGCCGCCTCCCCGGGACGGTTGCGCACTTTCCCGGCCGCAGCGGACAGCGGTGTCAGCTTGGGCAACGCGCTCAGGGCCGACAAGGCCCGTGGCAAAATGAAATGGGAGGACCTTCCCACCACCACCCCCCTTTTCACCTAACGACACGATCTAAAAAATAAATACACGTCCTTTTGGAAACGGTAGGATTTTAACTGAAGAAATAGAAATAATTCTGGCAGCGTCTGCGTTCCCCCACTGACCTGCCCGTTGTTGTTTGATGCTCCTTTATTGTTTGTAAGTTTTAGTTTCCCAAAGGAGATTTCCTGACGCATCCAGTGGGCTCCCGTGTTGGGGGAGTCGGGATGCATATACACCCGGTTTCCTAAGCAAAACAACAAAAAACACAACCACATCACAGTTCTCGCCTGTACCCCGGTTCTGCTGCTACATCCGCACACAAGGGTGAAGAACCCCGTTAAGTGGACAATATTTTACTGCTAAAACTCCCTTAATTTTAAACGAAAATGATTAAACCAGCTTTTTCCGAACACCTTTTACTTTCTCCTCCACCCTCCTTTTTTTCTATTAAAAAAAAAAAAATCGTTGGCCCATTTGCGTTTAAGAAGTCGCCAGAGCCAGTCCGCAAAGGCATTAATTAATCATTCTCACCTACATATGTGTCGGAAAAAGTGTTAATTGGAGGAACTTGCCTTGTACATTGGTGTCCGCCTTGCCGCAAGGAACCCATTTGCCTCCCTGAAATCTCCAGTGATTGGGGTCCGCCAAAATTACATCCACAAAAATATTGTAGTGAGCCGTAGGGTCGAGACCAGAAATATTAAAGCTTAGGAAAGGGAACATGCGCCTATAAAAAAAAATAAAAAAGGGAAAAAAAAGAAAAGGGGAAAAAAAGGAAAAAGAAAGGGAAGAAGGAAAGCAAGCTATCCGCAGCGACAGGCACACGAGGAGCACCCAGCCGTTATGCTTTATCCTCACGGCTCCCGATAGCGACTGGGAAATAAAAATCAAAAGAAGCCCCCTCCCCGGAGTGCCGAGCTTTCCGCGGGGAAGGGCTGAGTGCAGCGGGCGCGGGAACTTGCGGGGAGGCAGAGAGGGCTGCCCCGGCGGGGACCGGCTCCGGCGGGGACCGGCTCCGGAGGGATCCCGCACCGGAGCTCCGGGCGACCGGGGCAGTGGCCCCGGTGATAGGGGGACGGCTCCGCCGGGGCTGCGGAGGCTCCGGGCGGCTCCCCCGGCGAAGTCCGCGGCTCAGCCCCGACACCCAGAAAGGTCCGCGCGGTGGCTTACCTTCCCTGCTTCGTGATGATCATCTCCGTCTGGTGCCGGTGAAATTTCAGCCAGAGTGGCCTGTTGCACAGGTAGACCTGAGCCTTGCCGGGAACCAGCCCCGGCTGGGTGGAGGAGAACTGGTAGAAAGGTGCCCCTTGGTAGGAATGGCCATACTGCTGGGGGTACGGGTAGCCCGCCGTGGGGTAGCCTTGCGGAGAAGAGTTGGACAGGAGGCTGTTATAAGCTCCGTTGGTGATCACAGGATGATGAGCCATGTAGCGGCTGGGGCTGGCGATGGAGAAGGCTGGGTGAGCAGGTCCATGCTGGCTGGGATAAGGGAACATGGTACTAGGAGCAGAGGCAGCAGACTGGGGCTGGCTGGACTGAGAGAGCAGATAGCGATCTGCAGCAGATCCATCGAAACTGTGACGAAGCTCAGAGACCCCGTCCAAGACGGGAGAGAGTTTATTTCTCTGGACGTCCCCTGGTGTGTCCTTGGAGTCAGGAAAATTGTCTGTATCTGACTGATTCGTCATCCCCCTGGTAATTTTTTTCAAAGGTGAACTTCTCTCCAGGTTGTCAGTGGTCGAGATAATGGGATGATCATGCAAGGCAAGCTCAGATCCGCCTGCATGTGGGTAACTGCTGCTCACATTGAGAAATTTCTTGGAGAGCATGATAGAGGGAGAAAGACAATGCTCCAGCTGCATAGCTCTAGCACCACAGTAATAACCCTTCAGTCCCTGGATCTGAAAGGGCTTCCTAGTATCAGAAGCTAGACATCCTGGGACCCACACTAGGCAGAAAGCACTTCATCTACCAAATGCTTCCCAAACGTTTGATTTACTTTTTTTTTTTTTTTTTTTTTTTTTTTTTTTTTTCCTCCCTTCCCAGGGAGAAGAGATTGGCCAATTGACACTATGCAGCAATCAGGAAAGACTCACTTTTGATCTTGCTGCTTGTGGAGAGGATGAAACGGCTTCTGCCATTGGTTAACCGCTGACAGTAATTTAATTAGATAGACATTAATTAGGATAATCACCTGGCTCCTGGTCGCGACGATCATGGCAAATTGAAGGAGATGATTTTATTGTGAGATAGAAGGAAGGGAAAGGGGGAAGGGAAGAGTGTGTTTGCTGTGAGAGCTCATTATTATGTGACCTTTCTAGCTTTTTTTTTTTTTTTTTTTTTTTTTTTTTTTTTTTTTTTGACTACGGCTGGAAAATAAATCCAAACCCTGCGATTCCCCAAATATTGCCCCACCTTTGTGCGTCAGGGAGAAGAGCGGGTCCTGGGCGCTTTGGGGAGCGATGGCGAGGGGAGCGCGGGGCTGGGCGGCCGCTGCCCTCAGCTCACCCCCGCGGTTTGTCCCCAGCGGGGCGCAGTCCCCTCTCCCCCAGCTCTTCTGAGCGATCCCCGGTGCATCGCCCCCACCCTTCCCACCCGTGCCTGTTTCGCGGGGAAAATACACCCTCCGTCCCCGCTGGCAGTGGCCGCGTATCATCTCTTTTAACTTCTGAAATAATCATAAGCCCCGCAGCCGAAGTGCCCTAATGTATTTGCCGCGATGTTTACGGGTTCTTTAGTAAATAAATATTTTATCTGGGAGCCGTAATGCCGGAGATTATCAGCAAAACAGGGTGGAAGGCGTCCACCTCCCCATCCGTCTCCGGATTTCTTTGCTCTCGGTGCCTGCTTTCCCTCAGTGACTGAGTCCCGCGGGCAGCTCTCGGGAGGGGCAGATTTCTGGCAGCACCCTTGCCAGGGGTCGTGGCCCGCCCCGGCCGCGGGGTCGATCGGAGCTGGGAAACCCAAACCTTGATGGTTCTGCGGCAGGAGCCGCCGGCACCCCCTGCCCGGGGGGGTCTCCGCGGGAGCCGCGGCCCGGGCTGCGCTCCAGGCGGGCGGGGGCCGCGGGGACTCCCAGGGAGCGGAGGGAGCGGCCGGCGGCCCCGCGCTGCGCGCGGCCGAGCCTCCGGCTATGGAAAGCGGGACCCTCCAAGCCGCAAAGACGCGCCTGAAGAGTCCAAGGGGCCCGCTCGCCACCCCGCCTGTGCCAAGCACCCAAGCACCAGTCTCAATTTCTCTTCCCAGGGAAGCCTGCCTGAGAGTTTAAAAGCACAGGGTTTGTTTTTTGTGGGCTTGGGTTTTTTTGGCCGGGCAGGAGCTCTCCTGTTCCAATTTTCTTAATGTTGTCTCCTTAGTGGTTTGGACTTCAGGTATTTTACAGACCGCATCTCGTCCCAGGTGACATCAGCAGCCGGCTTCAAATTTCACTGACAGATAATGCAGCCTGAACCACCACATAATAAACCCGAACCACCGCATAACTGCCTGAAGCCAGACTGAAACTTTGCAAACTCAAATCCGGAGAAGACTAGAACCAGGATGACTTGACAGAATGTGTATTTCAATGCTCTCAAATCCCGTGGCCATTTATTTTTCTGTTGCTTAACCGTGAGCTACTTTGGTTATTTGGTGTTTCATAGATGCCGAAATACACATGCTCTCTGCAAGGAAATTATTCTAATAAGACAATTTATGAAGCAAAAACCAAGCAGTTCACTGTTCTACTCGAGTGGTTCAGCGCATGCAACTTTCATACACCACCTTTTTTCAGTGTTAAGCAAACGGTTTCATTATTATCAGTTCTAACTAATGTTTCCAACAGTTGTTTCACCAGTGCTCACCCTTCCCTTTCCCTGTTTGCAACAACAGAACAGTAATGGACTTCTACAAGCAGGAGATGGACCGAAATGCAGATAAACCCTCGGAAATGCTGCCCTGAATTACAGAGCTACAGCCGTATAGATGCAGAGCTGCAATGAATTCAGTGGTATACTGCCAATCACACGGAAGTGTTAATATATGCCAAAAATCTTCAGTGCACAACTCCTAAACTGGTATAATAGGGGGGATATGCAATGGCAGGTGGTGTTACAGAATCGTCATAGAATGGAGTGAGGTTTGCTAATACAATATGCCCGTCCTTCACGCTGACAGGTGACAAGGGGTCATGCTGCTAATGAAGGTCTGCTCCATTGCGGCTGGAGGCTCAGAAGGTGGCTGCTTGAAAATCTCTTTCTTCCTCCAACATCATACACGGCCTGCTGCTTTTCAGGTTACGGCATACACGCAATTCTTCCAAATCCTCTGTGTAGCTCCTAAAGCACTGGACAAAAATAAGGAAGGATGCCCCAAAAACCTGCCTTTTTATTATTCATGTAACATCTTGGAAAATGGAAAATTGTGTCTCCAAGTTAAACTGAGGAGTGAATAGAATGCAGGGTACCACAGCACAAGCTTATACTACGGGAGATCTGCGTCTCCAACAGACTCCCTTCAGCTACCCTCTGCAAGATGTACATTTGTCAAAATTAATTTAGAATATGTAAGACTCACTGGTTTGTCTCCCTGCTTACACCAGCCTCTCACGCATGTATACACTGCAGCACTGCGCTAGCTCCTCTCCTGTTCTGCAGTGCCATGTTACCCACGACCTGCCAAACTCTGTCTCCCTCGTGGTGTTACACGTGTGTGTGGGAGTAGAGAGCGGCAGGGATGCAGAGCCCCCCTGGCAGACGAGCCCCAGGGCAGGTCCCTGGATCAGCTCCTGCCCCATCTCACCCCGGGCGTGCGCAGCCGGCAATGCGAGGCCTGAATGCAGTCCTCCTCAACCACCCGCAGGTTTGCAGTGGGAATCTCCAGAAAGAACTTCCATTTAACTACACGCAGGCAAATGTGGTTTGGTATGTCTCCATTTTCCCAGTCTGATATTCCACTGCCTACTGTGGGGGCAGAGGGAAGGCCATAAGGAGGGCAGCTGCAAAAATCTGCATGTTTCCCTCTGAAGTAAGTGCATGCTAAATATACTTTGAGAGAGAGTTAGTCTGAAATAGTAAATTAAAAGGCCTCAATAAGAAATTTCAAACAAAAGAAAAATCTTTGAATGGCAAAGTGTAAGTAAATATGGGCATAAGCCAGAAAATAAGAAAATTTAAGGACTATTTCCTTAGTATGCAACTAAGAAGTCAATTTTTAAAAAATTATGTTCAACAAGAGATGCAGATAGTTTTGAAATATTTGCCTGCCACTACTGTTGCTCTTTATTAATAAAACCCCCAAACCAACAGTAAAGAGAAAACTTCTGCCCAGACAAAAGAATCAAATCAGCCTAAGCAACATCCAACACTTGAAAAAAAGAACCCTAATGAAAAATTCCAATCAGACCCTGCCCAAAACCCAGAGTCACTCCCCAAACACTGATATTTGGCTTTGCCTGCTTCAAACCAAGCAAACCACCGCCTTCCTGCAAGTGTTTCCCTCTCCAGTCAGTAGAAATGGTTTTACATGTCATATTCTAGTTGGGACTCTTTCCACATATTTATATATATGGACATCTCATGTATGTTCTCTCACAGGAGGGTGGATTCATGTAACCTAGAACAGCCTCTGTCACTTTAATGTTTATTCTCAGAATACTGCTATTTATGACACCACTTGTGAGAGTTTTGTGATTCAGTTATCAGCAACTGAATTAATTTCCTTTAGGTCAGTTGTCTTGTGTAGATATTAGGGTTTGAATAATACTCAAAGGGAGCTGACAGAGGAATTTTCAGCATTTTTGGTTTTGTACATCCTCAAAATTCAGCACTATGATTTTTTTAGTTTTAATCTCCATGAGAGTAACTGGTAATCAATGGGAGCCAAATTCCAGTAGAGAATTTTTGCTTTCCTAGCAATTATTATCTCAGTAGTTTTAAGTGGGGGGAAACAAATGTTTACTAACACTTTTTCTAGTTTGTTAATTCCCGCTGTCCTTTCTCAAAAAACACTGTCCAGAACTTAAAACAGATTTGTAAATGTATTTTTATTATGTTGCAACAATCAAAATATATATGTACTACTGATTTCCCCCCCTCCCCCAAATATTAAATGAAAACATACTCCATTTTTTCCCACATTGTGTTCTTGAATGCTTTGGAATCTGTGAGGACCCTGACATAAAGAAACTGAAGCAAATGCACAGTTAGAGACTGAGAGGTGTTACAGTGCTGCACTTACATTGCAAATGAAGTCAGATGTCTCCGTTTAATCAAATAGAGCCTCAACAGTCTCTGTTTTGTATTAGAAACAATAAACAAATATACACAGAAAGTATCACCAACGGTAAATCAGTTATTTAAATACAACTGTATCCAACATAGCAGCTAAACACTGGACAATGTTTGAGGTCATCAGCACATCCACATGCTCTTCTAAATGACGTTTAGGGTCCTGAAATACAAAGGATGCCATGAGAGGAATGACTGAAACATGTCTCTGAAAGATTTCATTTACTTCAAGTCTATTTAAGATGTCTGTGAGTTAATGAACACAGGCCAGTAATGCTCCTAAATTTTCCATTCTAGGAAGACTGAGCAAGTGGCTGAATTTCCATGAACAAAATTTTATTACTTCATACTAGCAGTTAAGTTGAGGAGGATAGGCTTAGGAAGTAAATTTCTATCCAGCATATCAAGAGTAATTGTGGCAGCTGTGAGTCAATTTTAAGGACAACACACAACATGTCTATTTTACTATACATCTCACTAAGGCCAATATTTTAATCTTAATTCTGGTACATTGCAATTTGTTTCAGATCTTTGCAAATGTGTGTTCTAATTCTGTGAAGATTCAAGCATCATCTAACACAGTCTTTGAATAGTTGCATCGACTGCAAAACAATTAGTGTATCCATACCCACAGAAACATGAACAATGCCCTGTCAAATGCTCTTAGGAATTGAATGTTAAGCCTGAGTAGTTTTCAGAAAATACATATTTTTACACACTATTACTCAACTGATGTAGGCATTTGTGGGCATCTGCATGCAACAATAAGATTATTTCTGGTTGAAACTCATACCCATGCACTTCAGTCTCACCACTGATATGAAATATTTAATCTCTAAATACTGCAAAAATATCAGGAAAACCTCAAAAAGACGTCTAAACTTTATTTTAGCATTATTGTAGTAATTCTTGTGTGCAAAGAAATTAAAATATGGAAGACAATCATGCATGGGAGTTGTAACCTCTTTCAAGATGGAATTATGTCAAAATGTAATGAACCCATCTCAATTTA